TTCCAGAAAGTATGCAGGTGTATAATTTTGGCATTAACACAAATATCTAAACTGTAAGACTAAGAGATTTAGTATTTTTAGTTGAAACCATTGGTGTAGATAAGATTACATAGGCAGATCTCAAATAGGGAAGAGGAAAATATGGAACTTCAGAGAACACCAGTATTTCAGTACAGAGTAGGGAAAGAAGTGGTTGCAAAGGAGGAAAAGATGATTACTGTTATCTTTAGTGACATATCTCATTTCATTTTTTTCAGAGAAATTCTAAGAAATTTGTAGTTATGGAAGTTCAACAGAATGTGAACTTTATATGTTTTACTTTTTCTTTAAAACTAGATTCTTAAATGCTTGTTTTAGTTGATTAATGTGTAGTGCTAAAAGGTAGCCTCGTGGGATAAAAAGCTAATGTACCATCTGACACTAGCAGCTTACTGTCTTCTCTCTTGCAAGATCAATTTCATTATTATGCTTATTAGTAGGGATGTATTGATATGGGACCAAAGATATATAAATTTTTATCGGTCTTTGTTTCCAGTCATTAATAATAGATGTCTTGTTTATAGGACACATGAAAAATACATAGAATTGCCTCTTGAATTTTGCTGTTCATAATTTCGTATTTCATTCTTGTTATTTCTGTCATTCATGGTGTGCTAGCTAATGTGCTTTTTTGTATAAAAATAATGTATTTTGGAGAAGAAGAAAGATTCTGAAACTTTTTTCTTGGCTAAGGAAATTTCTTTCAAAGCAAACAAAAAACTCATAACTTCTGGAGAGCATTACCTTAAACCTTTCACATGATCTGTGAATGCAGATCTAGAATTGTGTGTGTGTGTGTGTGTGTGTGTATCAAAAGCACTGTGTGTTAGAAATACCAGTGTTTATGAACACTTTTTTCCCCAGTAAATGTAGAAATATAAATTTCAATTAACAGTCTTCCTAAAAGGATCCAAAAAAAGATATTTGAGTATATTTTACTCCTCCAACTTTTTCTTTGCTTTTTAAACTTTAGTTTGAATAGCACCTGTAATTAAGGAAGAAAACTGAGCCCTAGGAGCTAGGTAGGACTTCTAGCTATTGATCTGTGTAAACCCTGCTTATACTGTCAGGGGAGAAACAGTCAACTGCTGAGCTGCTTTGTCACTGACATAAGCTGAGAGAGGATTTTTTTGTCTATACTGTTTATACACTAGTCTATAGACCTGCTGCCTGGTTGAATTTTAAAGAGTGCGGAGGTTTAAAGACTTGTCCCCGGAGGGATGCTTCTGCCAGTTGGGAAGTGAGCTGAGGCTGTTTTGCAGAAGTGTGTGCATGTGTGTTGCTTGTGTAAGAAAGGAGGGGGGAAGGTGTGAAAAGACTGAGCAACTAAATGGGAAGCCTCCTTCCTAATTTGAGTCTTAAATTGCTATGGAATATATGACTAATTTGGGTATATTGAGAGGTAGACATCAAATTCTGAATATATATTCTTCATTATAGAGATTATGTGGGAAACTTTGCAGGAGGATATCTGAATAGTGTTCATATGTTTAGTAAATATGGCAAATGGCTTCACTTTCGGTAGCACGAAATAGATAAAGCAGTAGTCAAATGTAAACTGTTCTCATTTGTAAGGAACTGTTGTTGAGTAGTTTATTTCAAGTGTTTAACTACATTTAACAAAGTATCATCATTAGTAAGATAGTTGCCTTTCTATAAATATGGGGTCTGTGCTCCTGCTTTCAAAGGTGCATGTCCATAAGCACACCTGGGTACCCTGCCCTAAGGAAAGAAGGTTGCTTTTTTTTACATAATGCTTTTCCTTCTGTTTTTGAGTGTTCAGGCTCTTGAAGCTTTCTGAGGTATTGATAGTAAAATTCTATTATATTTTATTTTTACTTGATACATTACTGCAGTATATATTTTAAAAGAATTTAATAAAATTTACTTTAAAATAATATATTTATAATGTTTAAATATTCAGATACTAATGATTTTACAGGATGTAGTCTACTGGTAAAGGGATAGTAGAGTAGTAAGGTAACTTTCTAGGGGGGTGGATTATTATATTAATATTTTTTCTTGATTTTCTTTTAATAGGAAACACTTTCATACATCTTTCCTTTGTTTTATAAGATCACCTGCCTTTGAATTTTTATGATGTTCTAAATTTTAACTTTTGAATCAGAGTTAATTTTAAGCTGTTTTTCAGATATAACAAAATAGATCTTTTCTATTTTTGATAAGTGGCTGATAATTGCTTATATTTTAATATAATTGTTAATGATTATTATTTCTAAAAATTTAAAAATTTTTTTGTATTTAAGTTATTGAAGTTTTCAAAATCAGGTCATTTTCTATGTTGAAAACATTGATTTTAATATTAAACAATTTTTAAATGAAAGCACAGAACAGAAGATATGTTTTAATTTAAAGGCTTACTTTTAGATTTTTACAAATACATTTCTTTAGGAATGTTATTTAAGATAAAACTTGGTACCAAGTGTGGAAACATAAATATGTCTTTTTTAGCTATAGAAATTTTTTTTAAGAGCCATTTGAGTATGGGACATGTAGAGTTGTTATACCTCTCAGTAATTCATTCTGCTGCCAACTTCATTCCCTTTTCTCAGCCTGCATTTTAATTGAAACAACATTTATATTTTTGAGCCAGGATCTGTCAGAAGTCCCTATGGCTAGTCTGTGGTACAAGTAGCAGCAGACGTAGCTTACCCATATGGTGCGGTGCTTCTTGTAAAATCCATATGGCCTTGTTGAAGGGAATCCCAGCGGGGATGTGAAGGGTGTTAATACCCTTCAGGCCAGGCCCTTCCCTCCTGGGGCCTCTGTGGCATTGTCAGTGCAATCTGCCAAAGCACAAACTTAATTCCTTTTTAATAATCAATTATTTTAGTCTAGGAACCTGTGCTATTTTTCTGAAGAAAATTTTTTCCCTAGAAAATGTCTTTAAAAAGTTGTGACTGCATCTTTAAAAAGTATTCTAAAGCTTCTTCTTTTTTCTTAAAATTTACATTTGTAGGAAGTACTACAGAGTGTGCCAAAGTTCTGTTTCCCCTTTGACGTTGAAAGGTACAGTATAAGTCAATATTTATAATAACCTTAGCTTATCTTAGCACACATTTTAAAGCGATTACATCAGCTTTTTAATGAAATCAAATCCATCATCTCTTCACTATTTCTAGAGAAACAGTGGAGACTAGAGATTCAAATTAAATGACATTTGGAATCAAGAATGCTTTGTATTGTAATAGCTTTTACGTTGTCCACTCTGGCCAGACTGGGGGAATCTTAAAGCAGTATTGCCAATAGTTTGTTTTTTCCCCCTTAATCTTCAGATATTTCATACAAACTAGCAGCAAAAATATGTCCTTGCTCTGAACCTTCATATTGTTTCTTTTAAAGTTAGATGTATATATCTTGGTGTCTCCCTCACTTCATCCTATTTGAAAAGACCATCTGTATGATGCAAAAGTCATGACCAGTTGTCTCCCAACAATACCTTCATAGAAATAGTGCAGTCTTACGGAAGGCTACTTAGCAGTTGTAAAAATCTCATTATTTTTGTATTTTACTGAACAAATGTTGAATGAACTGCATGTATTTAGTTGTAATTTAATATTTGTTCCTTTGAGCATAATGACAGACTACTTACTATTTTGCATGTGTTTTTCATACCATATTATCAGTTTTCTTAAGACTGTGGTATAAGAGATTTTTTAAACAAAGTTTATTTTAGGAAAATATTTTGATAATGATTAGTGAAACTCCAAAATTTTACTGTATTAAAGGTAAAGGCTTCTGAAGATGAGCTAATTTATACTAATAAGTATTCCTGAGGAATGACACTTCTTGTTACCTAATTTCTGACGAATCAATTCGCCCCTCCCATCTTCAAAGTTATCATTTTTAAATCAATAATAAGAATAAACTAAAGGAAGAAAAGCTACCAAAGGATATTGTGAACCTTGAGTGTTAGAGGGCATATTAGTCATTGGAGGATTTATTTGAAGTTCATAAAATTTTTAAAAAATCGTTCACTTAACAGTATACTTTTTAAATATTAAACATTTGAAATGCAGTATTTCCTGAAAAAAAAACCAGTACAGGTACATTGGTAGTAATTTACCTCCATTTTTACAATCCTTACAGTGTTTTAAAACTAAAGTTTAGGTGTCAGGGATATTTTATTTGGGGACAAGGAACCAGTAGTTAGGTTATCTAAGGCCAAAGTTGTAGGCAGTATACAGATGTATACTTACAGATTTTATCTAATGATTTGGATTGTTCTTTATACTGTGGTATATATTATATTATGGCAGTACACTACTTAGTTCAAAATTGGCTAAAATTATTTATAGCTTAGCCAATATACTTCTTTGGTAGAAATCACATTCTTATTTGTATTTGGAAATTTAATCCTCAATATATTTATTGATAGCTCTAAAAGCAAATGCTAAGGAAAAAAACACCAATAGTGTTTTGTATGGTACTTTATTGGGTGAGAATGTCAACAGAATATGCAATGAAGCAGAATTGGTGGAGGCTGCCATTAGGTTCTAAAACATGATTTGCTATCTAAGGAGTTAATAACTGTGGAAAGCAGAATAATTGGGGAAAGAGAAGCTACTGTGAACTCTATAACTCACTTTGTGTGGCTTCTTCAGTTTCAGTAAAACTACTTTAATACATATGAAAAATTTTATAGGTACTTTTAATCTTTTCAAAACTTACGGCAAACTTTCTTTTGAGTTTTTAGTTAGGAATTCATATATGCTGAATTGTGTAGTCTATAAGGTGATATCTTATTTTGATGTGTGATTCATGATTTAATTTACTCATTTCACATTCATTCTCTAGTTTTAGAACAGAATTCTAAATTCAAGAACCAAATGATTGAAAACCAACTGTGGAAAACTACACCATGTATATTCTTGTGTTTGTTTCTCTTTAAGAAAATTGTCACACCAGGCTTAATTTTTCATAATATTACTGTATTTTAGGGTGTCTCAGAATCAAGTTGGACAGCATTTTACCTTTGTACTGACTGACATTGAAAGTAAACAGAGATTTGGATTCTGCAGACTCACATCAGGAGGCAAAATTTGTTTATGCATCCTTAGGTGAGTAATTGTAATAAAAAACTGGCTATCAAACAGATGAGCTGTATCCTTCTTTTTATTTCGTTTTGCTTACATGCCAAAAAGTAAAAACCAAAAATCCTGCTTTAAATTTTAACTTGTTTGTCTAACTTCAAGTAAGTTGAAAGCGAATTTTTTTTTTTTTACTTTCTATATACAGATTCAGTTGGGTATAAAGATTTATTGGTAATTTGGTGAAATTTTTCTTTAAAGAATTGAGTCTTTTAAAGATTAGATTTTGTGGATTTATTTTTGCAAATTAAACATTAAAATAGAAGTTCAAATAATATAAGCACTTCTCCTGTTAAATGTGATGCAAATATTTCAATAAATTAATATATGCCCTTTCTGTCACTGACTATAACTTTGATTTTTGTAAATGAATTGCTGCTTTAAGTCAAAGGTTGCAAACTGGTCATGCAGACTGAAGATAGAAGTTTCTGTTTGGCCACTGGGTGTTTTAAAACTTTTAGGACGTTATCTCATGCACTTAGGAAGTATTGTTTAAATTCTATATTTCTAATTTCCTTATGAGAAATGGGAATATTTACTAATTATGATCCTGTACTCCCCAAATATCATCAATAAGCTAAAATTAAATGGCAGGTTTTTAGTTATGTCATGAGCTTGGTAGTTTCTATAGTTCTCACCTGTCCTGCTTCAGTAGCTTCTGTGGTGTGGCTTCATTCATGAGGTGGAGAGTGTGTCTCCTGCCGATGGGCCTCACATCTGAGATGCGGGCTATTGAGAAGAAGAGTACTAAGGGTTAGCACTCCTGTTATGTGTCCCGATGAATCAGAAATCCAGATGTAATCTGTAAAAACAGGACCATATACTATTAGATTATGGATATTGGTCAACCTAGATTCTGTAGAAATGCTTATAAAAAGAATTAACATTTAACTAATGAATTAACACATTACAAACAAATCAGTATAAAATCGGAATGTTCTCTGTTTGCTATTTAGCTGCATCTGTGTGATTTACTGCGAGTTAAGTATTAATAAATCCAGAACATTTATTGATGCTGGGGATTTTTAAAAAATTTTTATTCAGGACCAAATGTTTAACTGCTTTCTAGGTAATAGAATGAATTTGTCTCCATTTTTCTCTTTAAGGGCACACCTTTTTCTTCTTGATAACAATTGTATTTAAAAGTTATGTTTTATCCAGAAGAGTCATATGCTTACACTAGAGGTCGACTTTCCTGACTTAGAGCAGGTGACTGTGCAGTGGGATGGAGTGGCACTGTGGGAGTTTGGGGAGGGGAGAGCTCCTTGTATCACTGTGTCTCCTGCTAAATTTTCAGAGCTACAGCTTAACGGGGAGCATAACCTTGTGCACTCTGTCCCAGACAGGTGTGTCCTAAAAAAAAAGCTATTTGTGCTTTTTTATCACTTTTATCAATTTTTGAAACTTTTATTTAAAAAATTTAAATGTACAGAAGAGTTTCAATAGTATAATGAACTCATGTTATCACCACAGGGATTCATCAGTTAGCAGGCATCTCTCTCCTTTCCCTTTCATCCTCAGTGTATTCTTTTTTTTCCTTTTCTTTTTTTTTCTCTCTGTCATTAGTATTGTTTTTGTTGACCAGTTGGCCATTTGAGGATAAATTGTAGGTATTATAGACCTTAGTTTTCTATATTTTACTCTATGTTTTATAGCTTACTTCAGTCTTCAAACTGTATGCCTGATATTATTTTTTTTTTCTTTTTTTTTTTTTTTTTTTGGTACTGGGCATCGAACTCCAGTCCTTGCACTTGCAGGGCAGGCGGCAGAACCACTGAGCTAAATCCTCAACCCTGATGTTATTTTTAATTAAAGAATCTAAACCTTTTTCAGTGTTTTGAACTCTTAAAATATTTTGAATTTTTTTTTTTTTTTTTGGTATGGCCATGGAACTCAGGACCTTGCCCTTGCAAGGCAGGCATGGTGCCACTAAGCTAAATCCCCGACCCCGTAACCGATATACTTTTATCTGTGGTTCTAAAACTTGTATATGTGAAAGAACAGCTCAATCTTGTGGTACTCTTTGAGTTAAGAATAATTTCACTTGTAAAAAAATATGACTATATGGAATCATTGTAGTAAAAAATCAAAATCTAATTATATATGTCAATAAAGATGACCTTTCACAATAAGGATTATTGATTAGTCTATCTCTTATTAAAATTATTTTTGTTTAATCATTTAATTTTGTCATTTGACAGTGTTTTCTGGTAGATAAGAAATAGGAGATTTCAAAGCTTTGCAGAAAAATCATGGAGGTAAATCTTACATTGAAAAAATTCTGTGCTCCACCTTACTTTCCCTTCATAATTAGAAAAATATTGCTACTTTAAACTTTTAATGGAATATTTCAGTCTTGATCCTGAAAGTCAATGTGCTAAGGTGTTTTTTGAAAATAGCTAATTTAGAGAATAAGCAGTAAATTAGATAACTAGTTTTATAATGAAAGGAGAATTCAAATATAATGGAATTTAGAAACTTGCTTGGAAAGTTGTTATGGATAGGTAAGTGTATCTATAAGTTACAATCAGTGCTATCTCTTGGAAAATAATTTTGACAATTCTCTATAATGCTATTGTGAGAGAAATAATGGTGTTTTGAGCCTGAATTTATTCATCTGGTTTGGTGGTTCTCTACAATTTAGGTTTAATGGTATGTATAATTGTTGAAATGAATGATAAAAACCTAAATGTACTAGAAAAAAGTGACTGTAGCCTTGAGAGCCTTTCTGTACCTGACATGGAATAAAGAAGCCTGAAGGATTGGTGGTGTTTCATTTCACCAAATAATGATGATGGAAACTTTTGTTTGGTGACAAATATAATAAGAAAACTTAAAATACAAGTAATAAACTGGTACAAATAAATTCCCAACCACTATAACAGAGGTTAATAGCTGTAATATATAACAAGCACCTACAAATTAATAAGAAAACCCAATAGAACATAAATAAAGTATCTGAAAATCTTACAGAAATGTGAATAGTTTATGTATTTATGAAGGATATTCCACCTTACTGACAGTAAAATAAATGAGCACACTAAGATTGGCAGAATTGAAAATATTTTCTTAAGTAAGCTTGAGAATACATGGATTTCATGCATTATTTGCAAGACTATAATGACAACCTTTTGAAGGGAAATGTAATAGCATATTTTTAAAATCTCATGCTTTTTGTCTCATAGTAATATGTATTTTTTCAAAGTAATATGAAAAATTTCGAAGTAGTATGTTTTATGTTTATATGTTCTTCAAAGCCAGTTATGTCTATTATATATGTATGTGTCTTATTAAGTAGTTAATCTATCACAAATAATTATATAGTAATAAATGACTATATAATTATATAAAAGTTTAGAAAGATACATCCCAGTATGTTTTATTTTATATACTTCAACATCTATCCACTTTTTGTAATGAGAAAAAAATCATGTTAATCAGTTTTTTTGTGGTTCAAAATTTTGAGATATATAGGTAACAAACTATAAATATCGTTCCATATTTTATATTAAAATTAGTAGGAATTTGGGCAGATCATCTTTTATCAAGTACAATATTTATTGTGTTTGCAGACTTGGAAGTTATCTTACTAGTGTGTTTCAGTGTAGGCACCTTCAGTGCAGTAACCTGATCCTGGGAGTGTAGCAGAATTAAGAATGGGGAGGGGAAAATTTTGTCCTATGCCTTTGAAAATCAGCATCACAATGTGAAAGAATGATCTTTTAAAGAAAAAATATTGCTAATGGGGTGACTGGTGACATTCTTTAAGCTAGATATTAGTGCTTTTCTGTAATTTCAATGTAAATGTTTAGGGCTGGGGATTTAGCTCAGTGGTTCTGCCGCCTGCCTTGCAAGCACAAAGACCCAAGTTCGATCCCTGGTACCAAAACAAACAAACAAACAAGAAAACCCAACTCAATATAAATGTTCAGTGTGGTAGAAATGTTTTATGAGATGGCTGAAGAAATGCTACTTTCCAGCAGTACTCATTTAATTTCACTCTACAATGTGAGATTAAGACACAAGAGAAAAATGTGTGATACTATATATAACTATATATATATTGTAAAACTAGGAGATAAAATAAGTTGTTATTTTTTTGTAAGGAACGGGGGAAGGCAGGAATATTTAATGAGTTACTCATAGAATTATCTGTGGCAATTAAGTCTCTTAACTTATAGGCCAGTTTTCTTTATAACAAATTATACTGCTTTCAGTGTGTATGAGAGAAGATCGGCTACACTGCTGTTTTGAGTATTTTCTAGTGGCAGCCAAAGATTCAGAGTAATGTTTGTAGTCCATTTTGTAAGAGTTTTGGACTTAGAATTTATGTTCCTAATAAGGCTAAGATTTGTTGAGGAATATAACAAAATACTTGTATAAACAAGTCACAGAAATGTCTTTAACCATGTTTTCTGATAACAAAAGTAATATACCATTTTATTATAAAAAGTTTAGATGATTCAGAAAAGTTTAAAAAAAGAAAATAAGAGCCCCTTATATTTGTGACACATAGTGAATGCATTCATTTAAGAGTCTTGCTTCCATAAGACTTACAGTATATTTATGAATTTTTCTGTAGGATATCAAACTAAATGATTAACTGTGGTCTTTATTCATAATTAGTAAAATGCACAAAGGTATTTAAAATATCTCATAAACTGACTTTTATATTATACTACATAATGCTCAAAATTTTTCCGCATGTTGAATCTGATAGCTGGAACTCTTCTTTTTTCTTTCTTATACATTGATATATCACACAAATATTATTTTCCTTCTAATTTCAGTTTAAGTCATTTACTTAGATCTTTAAATATATTATAAATTTTGAATATTAAATGTTAATTACCTCGGAACATATTCTTTTTAGGTGTTCTATTGTGAGATAACACTGGTTTGATAATTCAGTGTGCATTCTTAGTAACAAATGAATTAAGATTCTTGGGTAAATAATTGGTAGTTTTTTG